ACACATCATCATCATCGTTATCTGGTGTGAGGGGGGTCTGGCGCTTCACACAAGAAGACTGCGCCAGCCCCAACCATACACAGACGAAGAAGGAGGGGTTAGACGAAGAGGAGGGGAAGATGGGAATGTCGTCAACACCAAGTCTCGGCACAGGCCCAAATAGTCCCTCGTCGAAATGTCTGAATCCCAAATGTCCAGTTTGGATCCAATGTCGTCAAGTCTCAAGTCACAACTCTTTCTCTCTTTGTCGTAGTATGAGAAGTCAGGTGGCGAGAGGGTGAGAAGAGATGGTGGACTTAGAAGAGGAAGAAAAAGAACTCTCTCTCTCTCTCTCTCTGTGTCCAGTACTAACCTGTGAAGTTGGCGCCTTGATGCAGGTACCTCGAAGATGGAGCTGGAGAGATGGCGCCACAAGTAAGTACCACTGGCCTCCGCCAGTCTCTCTCCCAACTCTACGATCTACCACCTACCAGCGCCCAGCGCTGAAGACTACTCTATGGCTATGGGCGCCCAGCGCCGAAGACTACAGCTAGCGCTAACTACTGCCTAGCGCTGAAGACTACTGCAGCGCTCCTCTTGAGTGCTGCCCGAATCCTGAAGACTACTCGTGCCTACTCTCTACCTACCTGTGAAGTGCCTGGGAAGTCCTATGTACTACCACGGGTGCCTCCTGACTGGAGGCGAGCAGTCCAGGAGGCTGCTCTTGCCAATGCCGATAGGAGGCAGGGGCTGCCGCTGCAGCTCCTGCTAAAGGTCGTGGGAACAGGCTATTTCTGGCCTGTTCCTGAAACCCTGTTTCCGTGGCCGAGTCTTAGGGGCGGTTGAAACAATGAGGGCCTGAAAATGGCCCTCCGTTTCAGGCTGGAAAAACTCTGGTTCTGAAAGACCCAGAAATAGGCTGAAACGGAGTGGGACCTGCAGGCCCTCGTTTTTCAGCTTTCAGGCTGAAACGACCGGGGCCTTTAAGCCCTAAGTTTTAGGCTTTTAGGCTGAATGTCTGGGACGGGCCCTGCAGGGCCCGTGTGGCTACGCAATATGCCACACCCCCCCCTCCTTGAAGAACCGAGCTTACCTGCGAGGGCGAAGCTGTCTGTCTGAGGGAGGGACCACCGTCCGTGTGGGAGGGGATGGTCGTGAAGCTTCCTGAGCTAACCTCAGCTTTTCATAATGCGCGTAGATCAGCGGTGTGGATGCTTTCAAATCTGCGCCTGAAATCCACCGAGTGTCGTCGCGATCGCATGCTTTGAATGTGACTTTGTACTGTCGCGGCTTGCTGCCGTACTCGCGATCGGTGATGACGCGGTCAACTTCCTGATGACCATCCACAAAAGGAGGGTCCTGCGATCGTCGGCCCGGAAAGTCGACGCTCTTGGCTGGCGTGTATGTTGCCAGCTTCGAGGCGTGGAAGACCGGATGGACCGTCAGATGCTCTGGAATGTTGATCACAAATGAAGGGCCATCGGGCTCATCGCCCGCGGCTGCTGTCATAGACCAAGGTCCAAACCACTTGGGAAGCAGTTTGCGTGAAACATCCTGTTCCGGTGCAAACTCTTCCACGGAGACCCAAACCAGATCACCGGCGCGAATGGGACATGGTACGCGACGCCTGTTGGCTTGCTGCTACATGCGGACTTGAGCCTTTTGCATGTTTGCGCGGGCTTGAGTCAGCAATTCGCTGTAGTTCCGGACGGAAGCGGGAGAGCAGGCAGCGTCAATGTCGGCTGGTCGAGGGAGGAGAAGGTCGGCGAAGCTCCGGCCTTTCCGTCCTCCGTGGTGCAAATCGAATGGAGTCACGCCGTCGCCGGATGCACCGAAGTGTTGTAGGCGAACTCGATGTCGGGGAGGCGGTCAACCCAATCTTTCTGGTCCGGACGGATGASCGTACGAAGCATCATTTGAGCGGTTTGATGTGCCCGCTCTGTTTGCCCGTCCGTCTGTGGATGCCGAGCCGAACTTGGTTTCATCTTCGTGTCGGACTCCTGCATGAGAGCAGTCTAAAATGCCGACATGAAGCGAGTGTCGCGGTCGCTAACTATGTCTTCTGGTACACCGTGGCCACAAATCCAACCAGTGTGCAGGAGGCGTGCCAGCTCGCGAGCCGTGGAGTAGTACTTGCAAGGAAGAAAACACGCATACTTACTCAATCGGTCCACCACCGTGAGGATGCCGTCGTGCCCGAGCCGGTCGCGGGGAAACGGACCAGTGATGTCCATGGGAATGGAGAGACCAGGTTCCCATAGGATAGGCGTCAGGCGTAACTCGCCGTAGGGATTGCGGTTGCGGGGCTTGCTGCGTCGGCAAACTTCGCAAGAGTCGCAATACTGAGTGACATCGGTAATGAGATCGGGCCATCCGAATCGCTGTCGAAGCTGTGCAATAGTGTGGTTGACTTCGAAATGGCCGGCGAGTCACGAATCATGATACTCGCCGAGGAGGCGAGTCCGAAGACGACGGTCGCGTGGGACACACAGTAAATCCTTGCCTCTAGAGTGGAGGAGCAAGTACCCGTCGGCAATGCGGTAATGGCTGGCCGACGGGTGATCCGAAGATAGTTGTGCATATAGCGTGGCGAAGTCCGGATCGGACTGGTATGCCCGGATGAAGTGTCGCTGAAGCTCCTCGTCGAATGCGAAGGCGTGATGTGTCATAGCGCAAAGATCAGGTCTTCGAGAGAGTGCATCTGCTGCGCGATTTGAGAGGCCGGGAAGATGTTTCGGTGTGAAGTCAAACTGGTTGATGAAGTACATCCATCGCCCGATCGTGCTGCTATCCTGCGTCTTGTAGTAGGTCAATGGATTGTTGTCTGTGACCCATGTGAGCCTACAACGCCCAAGGAGGAAGTGCCGCCATCGCTTGAGAGCCATGACGAACGCGAGTAACTCCTTCTTCCTTGCATCATCAAGTGAGTTGATGGGGGGCACTTTGTGGCTGAAATACTCCACAGGGTGCCAGTCGTCGCCGTCGTGCTGTTCCAAGACTGCCCCAATGTCGTAGCCGGAAGCGTCCGTAGTCACTCTCGTAGGCAGGGTGGGGTCGTAGATGCTAAGGACGGGTGCCATGAGCATAGCCGTCTTAAGTGCTTGGAATGACCGGGGTGCGTCGTCATCGAATACGAATGGCACCTTAAGAGACTGTAACCTCGTCATAGGTGAAGCAATCCTTGAGTATCCGGTGATGAATCGCTGATAGTAGCCCGCCAATGCCATGAATGAACGAACGTTCGTGGTGTTGGTGGGCTCAGGCCATACTCGTAGGGCCTCGATCTTGTCCGCAGGCGGACGGATGCCTTGCGGCGTAACGTAATGGCCCAATTACTCCAGCTCCTGCCGCGCGAATTCGCACTTGTCGCGGTTGGCTTTGTACTTGGCTTGTCCTAGCCGCTCCAAAACGGTACGCAGGTGTTCCACATGCTCCTCCAGACTCCGGCTGTAAACCAGAATGTCGTCGAGGTAGATAAGTACGAAACGATCCAGCATGTGTCGGAACTCCGTTGTCATAGTCGCTTCGAAAGTGGCCGGGGCATTCGTAAGGTCAAATGGCATAACCAGCCATTTGAAATGCCCATATCGCGTCTTAAACGCGGTCTTGTAACGGTCCTCCTTTCGAATCTCGAGTTGGTGATATCCCGACTTGAGGTCCAACTTGGAGAAAAACTGGGCGCCGCCCAATCGCTCGAGAAGATCGTCGATGCGTGGGAGAGGGTCGGCGTTTCTGATCGTCTGCGCGTTGTACTTACGATAATCGATGCACAACCGCAGATCCTTGTTCTTCTTCCGGACGAAGAGAACAGGAGCACCGTATGGCGATGAGCTAGGCCAAATCCATCCTTTCTCCAGAAGGTCGTCGAGTTGTGCCCGAAGCACACTTAACTCTTCCTCGCTCATTCGGTAGATGCAACCGCGCGGAGGTACGGCCCCGTCCTCGAGGATGATCTCGTGGCGGATGGGTTGATCCGGTACTACTCCGTGTGGGCCTTCGAACACGTCGCTGTAGGCGTCGAGAAGCTCAGTGATGCGTGTATCCGAAGGTGAGTCCGTCGATGAAGCGTCATGGGGCGGGAGGGCATGGAGAAAACACCCCCCCATCTCCTCGATGTCGTCTCTAATGATGGAAGCTCGCATGCTTGCGGCGGATACCACGTGGCAGTTGATCGAAGGATGAGGAAGAGGCACCGTGCATGGAACTAGTACTCCGTTCCGATCACGAATGTGAACGGTGCGGTGGAAGAAGTTCACCGGGTGATCCTCGCTTCGCAACCATGACATGCCCAAGATCATGTCAAATTTGGTGTCCAGAATGTCAAAGGACACCGCCTCACTTGCGTGAGGGGCAAAGTACACTGGGACGTTGTCAATGCACCGGTCGATTGACTTGTGCGTGTGACCGTCCGCCAACGTGACTTGTGTAAGCTGGGACTTCCTCCGGACGCGTGGGCCATGAAGTCCTGGCTGATGTAGTTGCGAGATGCTCCGCAATCGATCAAGGCGTTCTAGGTCGCCTCTTCGATCTGAATGCGTACATATAGCAATGGTGCGTCGATGTCGTCGTACCGTTGCGTCTTGAACTCGCGGTCGATCTTGGCGATGTAAGCGTGAAGGTCGACAACCTCTACTCCGGCGTCCATCAACGCAGCTGGTGTGTGCAAGTAATCCTGCAGCTGTGCCATGAGCACATTGCAATGCGGTTTCGGCAATCATCCGGTCGGGGGAACGGGCATCCACTGGAAGTTCGTGAACGTCAGTGGGTCGAACACCTCAAGTCTAGACCACGACGATGAATCCCCGGTGATAGATGGCGGCGAAGCTGCCGAATCGGTTGCTGATGGTGATGAAACCGTGCATGCGGTAGATTGTTGCACGTGGAGCGGTTGGTCCAGCGGTGGAACCAAGTGGACAGCATAGTCCTCGTAAGTGTAACRAGAACYTGCGACATTCGCATCCTCCCCAGATGTGCAGGAGGCCGCTAGCAAGACGGCCGAATCTGGCGGAGTAGAAGGTGGAGTCGCCTCACCTTCCGCGGAACTCAGTTTTCCAAGTTGAGGCGGGGTCACACATCCTCCTTGCCCTGATCCTGGCACAGGGAGGTCTTGTGCTTGGTGCTGTTGCGCCAATAGCAGCTGCCGTAGCGGCCGCGGACCTTGTACTCCGCCTCGGTCAAGCCGAACTTGACCCATGGAACTTGTACTGGCTGTCCATTTCCGGCCTGCGATGAGGATTTTGCCTTCTCATTGTTGCGGGACTTGTTGTTGCTTCGCGGCTGGACAGCAGCCACCTGATCTCCGTCACTTGATGCTGGAGTGGCTGCTGGGTTATCTCCACTGTCCGACTGGACTGCAGCGAAGTGCTGCTGTCACGGACCAGTTCTTACCTTCTCCACATAGGTCGGCTGCCATGTTGACTTTCTCGTGTGCAACTGACCTGTTGGTCTTGATGATTTCCCTCGCCTTGTCAATGATCTCCGCGAAGGTTAAGTACTGCTCGCGATCACCAAGAGCCTGACTCAATGCAGCACAGGACCTGTTGTCACGGCGTAAATGCGTGAATGGCAAGTCCAGATTGGGCACTGCCGCAATCTTCTGCCACTCCATGAGTCAATCCCGTGTTGCGGTGTTGCCCTGTGACATGGTTAACAAACGGTTGATGGCGAGTGCTAGCGCGTCGTCCACGATGAACCGCTTCTTCCACAACCGTGTCAGTTCCTCCCATGTGATTTTGTCCTTCAAGTCCGGTATGTCGACGTCGTGGGAGGTTGCCAGGTCGGTCAACCAGGTCTGGCATCCGCCCTTTGAGTTCATGAACAGGGCACCGATGTACGAGTGCTTGGCGACGGGCAGAATCCTGAGTTGCGTTCTGAATGCTTCCCACCAAAGGACCGGATCCTGCTGCGTGTAGTCGTCGAACCTGTCCAGTTGGAAAGTTGGCATCTTGTACAACTTTGGATTGCCATCCGTATTCGTTGACTGCAGCTGCTGGAACTCGGTCTTCAAGGTATGCAGCAGCTGACTGCTGATGGTGGTCGGCGCAGCGAAGGTGCTGATGTTGCCGAGCATTGCCCTCCAGTTGGCGGCTAGAGGATGCACTGCTGGAAGCCCCAGCATCTGGTCTTGGCGGAACTTGTTCCAAGTCCTGTACACGGGCGTCTAGTGCCCGTGTGGCATCCTCATGCTGAGTCTTATGGTTCCGCACGGCCCGCTAGAGGTTCGCCAGCTCGGACTGTAGGTGATTGCACGTGTAAACCAACCTGGTCACTAGCTTGGCCATGAACTCCTTATGCTGCTCTTTCGGTGTTGCCTCGTCGCCATTCGGTTCAAAGTGCCAAAACCTGAGTCTGTCGATGCTGTTGGCTTCATGCCGCTGCAGCAGATCCTGGGCTTCCTTGCGGCGAGCCTGGGCATCTGCGTCTGCTTCGGCCTGTAGCCGAAGCTTCTCTGCTGCTGCCGCTTCGTCAGCCTGTAGCTGGGCAGCCTTGGCAGCCAGCTGGCATTGTTACTCAGCCTCGATTACAGCGAGCTGAGCCTGGAAGCACTTTTTGTAGTCGACAATGGGCTCATTGGCCAGTTGGCCTGGCAGGCCCATCATGTTGCTGACGTGGCACTGTGTCTGACGTGGCACTGCTGACGTGGCACTGCTGACGTGGCACTGTCACTGTCTGACGTGGCATTGTGTCTGACGTGGCACTGCTTACGTGGCACTGTCCGACGTGGCACTGCTGACGTGTCACTGTAGCTGACGTGTCACTGTGTCTGACGTTTCACTGTAGCTGACGTGTCACTGTGTCTGATGTGGCACTATGTCTGACGTGTCACTGTAGCTGACGTGTCACTGTACCAACCCGGAAATGCATGCAAAAGGGGTGGGTCGGAGGGAAAACGTAGGTAGGCAAACAACCCAACAATACTTTCCTCCAGCCCTAATCAACAGATAAAGATAAAAAAATAAAAGAGGACTACTTCCTTTTTTTTTTTTTTGTATATCTGTCGATCTATTATGAGTACGACATGTCAGAAGAGTACTATGAACGAGATCTAGGCTAGGTTCCGCAAAGTTTCGACTTTTACAAACTGCGAATCTTGAAAAAAAATTTGCGAAATGGAGTAAAGATGCGATTTTCAGAAAAGAACGAAATCCAGTTTCTGAGATATAGCAACCTCCGAATATGCCTAACGCAATATTGGTAGGCTTCGCAAGATTTCGGTTTTCAAAAAAAAAATTGCGGGATAGAATGGAAATTCGATTTTCAGAAAAGAATAATTCCAGTTTCTGAGAATATGACCATTTCTATCGTTATCCCAATATGCCTAGAGAACGGAATACTAACGTCAGAAATTTCAGCTATGTATGCGAAATATCAGAGAAACGAAAWGCTACTATCGGGAATTTTCAGACAAAACGAAATGCAATTTATCAGAAATTTTCAGATATTTGTTACGTAAAAACGAACTACTAATATCAGAAATTTTCAGGTAAAACGAAATGCGAATATCAGAAATTTTCAGATAGTTGTTGCGAGAATTTTTTTTTCAGAGATTTGACTAAGTCCTACTTGCGTTACTACTGAGTGATCACTAGATCAGCAAGCTGGCTACTTGATTGAGCGGGTCCTCTGAATGAGAGGTCTGCTCCGATACCAAACTGTTGCATACTGTAACGTGCAGACCAGAACAAGAACCAACCTCTCAATAGAAAGTACAAGATAACACAGCGGAAGACTTGGATCGAATGATCCGAACAATCAATATTGCAATGCAGCCCCGAACACACATCATCATCATCGTTATCTGGTGTGAGGGGGGTCTGGCGCTTCACACAAGAAGACTGCGCCAGCCCCAACCATACACAGACAAAGAAGGAGGGGTTAGACGAAGAGGAGGGGAAGATGGGAATGTCGTCAACACCAAGTCTCGGCACAGGCCCAAATAGTCCCTCATCGAAATGTCTGAATCCCAAATGTCCAGTCTGGATCCAATGTCGTCAAGTCTCAAGTCACAACTCTTTCTCTCTCTGTCGTAGTCTGAGAAGTCAGGTGGCGAGAGGGTGAGAAGAGATGGTGGACTTAGAAGAGGAAGAAGAACTCTCTCTCTCTCTGTGTCCAGTACTAACCTGTGAAGTTGGCGCCTTGATGCAGGTACCTCGAAGATGGAGCTGGAGCGATGGCGCCACAGGTAAGTACCACTGGCCTCTGCCAGTATCTCTCCCGACTGTACGATCTACCACCTACCAGCGCCCAGCGCTGAAGACTATGGCTATGGGCGCCCAGCGACTACAGCTAGCGCTAACTACTGCCTAGCGCTGAAGACTACTGCAGCGCTCCTCCTGAGTGCTGCCCGAATCCTGAAGACTACGCGTGCCTACTCTCTACCTACCCGTGAAGTGCCTGGGAAGTCCTATGTACTACCACGGGTGCCTCCTGACTGCAGGCGAGCAGTCCAGGAGGCTGCTCTTGCCAATGCCGATCGGAGGCAGGGGCTGCCGCTGCAGCTCCTGCTCAAGGTCGTGGGAACAGGCTATTTCTGGCCTGTTCCTGAAACCCTGTTTCCGTGCCTGAGTCTTAGGGGCGGTTGAAACTATGAGGGCGTGAAAATGGCCCTCCGTTTCAGGCTGGAAAAACTCTGGGTCTGAAAGACCCAGAAATAGGCTGAAACGGAGTAGGGCCTGCAGGCCCTCGTTTTTCAGCTTTCAGGCTGAAACGACCGGGGCCTGTAAGCACTAAGTTTTAGGCTTTTAGGCTGAATGTCTGGGACGGGCCCTGCAGGGCCCGTGTGGCTACGCAGTATGCCACACTCTTCCAGCGTCGTGGGAAAGCAGGGAACACCACACATTGGCGCCTCGGTGATTGGGCACGCCGAACCAATTCCGTCCCAGGCCAAACTAGTGGGCACACGCGTGGCCCAGCCAGGCAACAAATTGGGCGAGCACTCTCCATATAGGAAAGAGCTCGCCACTGGTGGGGACATCCGGGCACTTGCGAGTGCATGCGGCAGCGCTGCTGGAGCAAGTACTCGCATGCTGCTGCGCTAGCGCTTGTGCTTGGACGCGAGTGGGCATCGAGGAAGAGGGCGCTGCAAGAGGGCAGCACCATAGCCAAGCCGTCCATAGCCGGGCTTGGCATGGATGAAGGTCAGTGAGGATTAGCAGTGGTCTTCGGGAGAGAGGAGACATGGGAGAAGACGAGTGCGAGCATGAGAGGGAGAGATGGAGGTGATGTGAGGGCACGTACCTGGTCTTGGCGGACGTCTACATGGTCGACATCTGCACGTACTCGGTTGCTGCTGCTGACGACAACGGCTGCTTGTCATTGCGTAGCTAGTGCGTAGCCGTAGGATAGTAGCCTGGGCGCTGAGCGCCATTCTGAGGAAGAGGTTCCATTGCATTGTCGGTGGTGGCAAGAAGATGCTTTCATAGACAATTGATTTCGCTGCAGGTAATATGAGTGCATTTAGCATGAGCCCGCCCTAAGTGAAGGCGGGCCCCCGAATTTACAATGAGGCCTGAGTTTGTCGATTTTGCAAAGCTTTGGTGGGCGCCAGACAGTTGCCACGCGCCAGCTGGTTACATACGCCTTGCTCGTGAGATTCACAAATATTTGTGAGCCTTCTAGGCTCTTCCAGCATCGTGGACAAGCAGGGAACACGACACATTGGCGCCTGGGTGATTGGGCACGCCGAACCAATTCGGTCCCAGGCCAAACTAGAGGGCACACGCGCGGCCCAGGCAGGCAACAAATTGGGCGAGCACTTTCCATATAGGAAAGAGCTCGCCACTGGTGGGGACATCCGGGCACTTGCAAGTGCATGCGGCAGTGCTGCTGGAGCGAGTGCTCCTGTGCTGCTGCGCTAGCGCTTGTGCTTGGACGCGCGTGGGCATTGGGGAAGAGGGCGCTGCAAGAGGGCAGCGCCATAGACAAGCTGTCCATAGCCGGGCTTGGCTTGGATGAAGGTCAGTGAGGACTAGCAGTGGTCTTTGGGATAGAGAAGAGACGTGGGAGAAGACGAGTGTGAGCATGAGAGGGAGAGATGAAGGAGGTGATGTGAGGGCACGTACCTGGTCTTGGCGGACGTCTACATGGTCCACATCTGCACGTACTCGGTTGCTGCTGCTGACGACAACGGTCGCTTGTCATTGCGTAGCTAGTGCGTAGCCGTAGGATAGTAGCCTGGGCGCTGAGCGCCATTAGGAGGAAGAGCTTCGATTGCATTGTCGGTGGTTGCAAGAGGATGCTTTCACAGACAATTGATTTCGCTCCAGGGAGTGCATTTCTTCTTTCTTTCCACTATCTGGCTTTCAATGTGATTTTGCAATCTGGAATTCTGTCATTTCGCTACTGCTAATTTTTTCTCGGTTTTGTTTATGCATTCTCTGTTATGCAACACGCAGCGGCGCTGTCGCGGAGGTTTTGTTCGCACACACACTGACTGTGAGATGGTGAAAGTACAACGGAACAGTCTGGCACAGTCATGCTTTTCTTGTGGAGTTGTGTATACCAAACATGACAACACACACACACACACACACACACACACACACACACACACACACACACACACACACACAGAGGGTTATGTATGTGTTTCTTCCTCCTGTCGTTTGTCTTTCCTCTGATTTTTTCTAACTACTTTTTGTGTGCCCAGCTGAGAACCTTTTAAGTAGTGTCAAACAGTCCGTCATGCCTCGTCTGGAGTGCCTACAGCACTCTTAGGGGGGCCGCTCGGTTCAGGATGTCTATGTTGCCTCTGGGTGATGACGGATGCTCGTCGAAGTGACTCAGTCTGCAGGGTTCACCCATGATGTGAGTAGGTGATTTGCCGCTTTGCTCCGTGTTGGATGTGTGGACTGCCTCGTCTGCGCTCCACCACTGCCTTGCTGCTCGTTCCACTTTCTTGGCAGGTCGTTCTTGACAAGCTGCTGTCTTTGCTGTGTGTTGTGGACGGGTTGTGGTGTTGCCTTGCGGGTCGCTTCTCTGCTGCCTTGCAGCCCTTCCCCTGGCCATGCCTTCCGTGTCCTTTGCTTGCGTGCCTTGTAGTCCGGTTGCCTTGTTGATGTTGCCTTGTGCTTCACGGCATGGTTGCTCTGCTGCTCGTCCGCTTGCCCTGTCATCTCTGGCAGTGTCGTTGTCTTGGTGGTGTTGCCTTGTGCTTCACTGCGTGGTTGCCCCACTGCGTGTCCTGGGTGCCGTGTCGTTCCTTGCAGTCATTTTTGGCGTCGTGCAGCCGTGTTGCCTGGTGCTTCACAGGGTTGATGCCCGCTGCTGTGTCCCACTTGGGGACAGTCTGCCTTCAAAATGGGTCAAAGGGTTCATGACCCAAACCATCTTATATGGAGATTCCGCAGATTGTCAAGGGTTCAGCCTCCTGATCAGCCGGTGCAACTCCAACAAAACAATCTGTCAGCATCAGTTTTGTTTCTTTTCAGTCTTCGTGTTTTGTGGTACTTTTATTTTTTTCTTGTTTGTGCCTTGCAATCTTTTCTTTTCTTTGGCTTGCTCCTTGGTGCTGGTTGTCTGCCCACCCACCTCCCCCATGCCCTCCAGCATATGTCCTTCGCGTCATTGTCTTTCCTGTCTCACTGCCTTGTGTTCTTTGTCTGCGTTTTGTATGTCAAGTGGACCTGCAATGCTACTCGATGGAATGTCTGTTGACTTGACTCACTCAGATGTGTGCTTTCCTCCATGAGTGTAGCGGTGATATGGTGCATGTTCTTATACTGTGCAGAAGATGACTTATATGTGTCTTTACACGCACATCATCACACACACACACACACACACACACACACACACACACACACACACACACACACACACACGCGCGCAAAAAGACAAAAGCACCAGCTGTAGATACCAAACATATTACCCAAAACCTCCATTGAACTGTGTCATGAAAAAGGAGAATCAACTGCTTCGGCGATATGGCTGAGTTCTCTGATCATGGTTCGGAGAATTGCTCAATTTTCTTGAGATAGGGCCCCCGACACAGTTCCCTCTTGGAACTGGCACATAGGACCAAGCACATATCCTACTATCCTCTCCCCCTGTCCATCCCACCAAATGACTAGGATCTCCTCCTGCGGTGAACCCTGAGCAATACAAGGAGCTTCCCCCAGCTGATGCCCCTCTTTGACTGACAAATGACCGTACTATTCCCATGTGTCCTCCAGAAAGGATATGCGAACATCGTTCAAATGCTCCCCTTCCCGGCATGCCAGGACATTCTGGCGGTGGTGGAATTACTTGAATAGGAAAGATGCCAGCTGTCCCATTCTGAGTTCCGCCAATCAACGAAAGCAGTCCCGATCCGGCATTATATTCACAACGAACACAGTAATCGACCTGCAGGAGAAAGGAAGGAAGGAAGGAAAGAGAGAAAATGTGAGAAGCAAGAACGATATATATCGCGAAACAGACAAAACAAAGAACGATGAAGGAAAAGTAAGGGAAAGTAAGGACTGTGGAATGTAAACAAATGCAAAGCAGAGGATAAGAAAAGGCTCAAGAATCAGTCTGTCCTTGACGACTGAGAGGACATACATTTTAAGGATGAGGTGGATGAACACACCGAGGCTGAGCTTTCTCGGTACAATAATTGCCACAACGGCTAGCATTGAGCATGCCCACAATACACCTCCGACAAATGGCATGTCGATTGCTGGCCAAAATGAAGGAAGAACGGTCACCACAAACACCATGCATTCAGTATAGCGCCAATGGCTGCAAAATGGACATACAGCGTCTGGATGCAGAGAGTGCCTGCAGTCAGGAACGGAGGGGCAGTCCTCAACACACATGGATGCAGAAACCATGTCATTGTAGTGATTGTGACAGAGACGGTGGTGGCTACAGTCAAGGGTAACAGTGTTTGTAGTTGTGCAAAGGAAAAGGTCGCAGACTGTTGGTACAGTCCCTGCTGCTGCACAGGGCCAGAGGAATGATCTTCGACATAAAAGAGATTGCGGACGGTTTGGTGTGGCAAGAAAACAGCATCATTATTTAAGAAATCAGTAACATCAGTCATGTCATGGACCATGATGCCTTGTCCCACAGCTTTCAGGTCAGAGGCACGAACAATGGCCATGTAATGGCCAGGTCCATGCACAATGCAGGCAGACTCTCCTGCTTGAGCATTGCATAGTTCAAGTTGGTGGTACCTCATTGCTACTTGTAGGACAGCAATGGTAAGCCTCTTTTCCTGGCATAGTTACAATCCTCTGGCTCTATGTAGGCGAGGAAAATCAGCATCAAGGTGAAGGGCGATTGCAAGGAAGTCTGACGGTGTATAAAATGGGCGGTGGAGAATCTGACGACAGATATTAGTTGCAGTCAGACCACAGAGATTGGTGAAGATCTCAGGCTGGTGCACTGGACGCTGGCCATCAATTTTTAGATCACACAGATGGTGTTGCAAGCCCAAGATTGTTTGCTGGTCAGTCAATTGCAGATCACCCATGTGGTCTGCGCGTGGTGGGGCACAAATTTGCGGTTCATCCAAACGACGCTGGTCAGCCATTTGCACATCCCCCATGTGGTCTACCCTTTGCGGGTTTAACTGCAGTCCATGTAAATCATGTTCCAATCACTCGACGTTTGGGGCTGCATCCTCAGCAGGGACTGTCCCCGGAATTGGGAGCGGCCCCTGGGCGGGGACTGCATCCTGTTGTGCAGGTGACTTGTGAATATCTAACTCTGAAGGGCATGAAACATGGTCCCGTGCCTGTCTGCATGCAGCTGGACTGTCTGCAGGAGGCATAGGAGCGGATACTGCCGTTTGGCACAAAGAAACAGCAATAACCTGTGGAGCAGGCACAGAAAGAATCGGGGCAGACAAAGAAACAAGCTGCTGGTCACCGGACAAGCGACAATGCGGCACATGCCATCAACAATGCACAATAAGAGTATTAGCGTTGCAAACTGAAGATGAACATGTCTCTGGCAAGAAACCAACAGCTACTTTCACATGCGAAAAAAAACATGGTAGCCGGCCGGATATCTCGACCGGCATCCAGACAGTCTGGAAAAATTTGTCGGGGTCCAGTGTCCGGTCCAAGACGTCTGGAACCCCCCCCCCCCAAACCAAAAATTCAGAAAAAAAAGGGTCCTGCGCATGGTAACCGACCGGACATCCGGACCGGGTTCCAAACAGTCCGGAGCCAGATGTCCGGGTCCAGTGTCCGGCCCTGAACGTCCGGAAACAGGGCCCCATTGAAAAAAAAAAAAAAAAAAGGGGGCTGCCCAGGACATTTTTTGGGTCCTGGGCGGCAGTGGGCGCCCCCTCAAAAATACGGGGCCAAATTTTTGGGTTCATTTTGGCCTACCGGACAGGGGTCCGACAACCGGACACAGGTGACTGAGAGGGTGGTTGGTGGGGCATTTTGGAAGTTGCTGTTTTCCAGAATCCCGCCCGCCGCTGCTAATAATTTCCGCAGCGGCCCACGTCCTTCATGCATCTGCTGAAGTCCCTACCCACAGCCATCGCCGAGAACAGCAGCTGCCAGGAGTTGCAGCCAGCCGCCGCCAGTCAACGACGAAGCCGCCAGCCAGCAGGTCTCTCTCTCTCTCTCTCTCTCTCTCTCTCTCTCTCTCTCTCTCTCTCTCTCTCTCTCTCTCTCTCTCTT